GTCTGCTACCAACTTCTACACTTGGCACACCTCATGTTTCTGGAATTGTTAAGGTCAAAGACTGGGCCCTGTCTGCCCTAACGAGATAGTTTCAGCTACTGTTCTCAGTACTCCAATTAAAGAGATTCATAATGGTGAAAAGAAGAGAAAAGAGATTTGTTCATTGTGGCTACCTTGGGGAAAAGAGCAAATAAAGAGATGTGGTAAACACTCCACCCCAAGCCAGACTCCAGTCTGTCTTTGAGGTTCTAGTAGGGGGTCTGGGTTTAAATAGAAGACAGAAAGGTACGCCTAACTGTGCAGTGTTGGTGGAGGTGTGATCCATCCATCATTGACTCAGCCCCAAGCTCTCCCAAAAGACTATGCCATGTTGGAGCTGTGTGAGATCTCTTTCTGTAAGGCAAGTACTTCCTCTGTCTGGTATGGATTCCAGACTTTTTCTTCTTCCAGTATGAGATTCTTTGGGAAATTCCAGTTCCTTAGGGACTGTCTTTTCAATAGTCTGACAGCCATCAAAAGACCACTGTGTCTCTTGGGATCTTCCCTCCTGCCTGGACTGATCTACCCACACTCTACTTCCTCCTTTGGGTAACTAGAACATCTGTCTAATTTTTACAGAGGGTGTAACCCAACAATTCCCAGAACCCTCATCCACTACTAGAGGATAAATCTTCTTCCCAGATAATGCAGCTTTGCCTGACCTTCATCAGGCCATCAATCCGGCAGGCAGCACATCAGACAAAGGTCTGAAAAGACCCAGGCCCAGTGGCTCAGTCTTCAGCAACAGGGCAGCTTCTGATCTGGCTTCGACTGCTATAGTTCCATTTCCAGAAAACAATCCTGCATAATCCTCTTTAATGGTAAAAGGCCTATGGTTTTAAAAAGAGATGGCTGAAAAATTACCCCAACTTTTAATAGCACAAGGAAGTCTAGTGGTATATTATTTTAATGCCTTCACTTTGACTAATTTAACACGGAATTGTCACTATAATTAGAAAGGATCATAGCTTCCTGGACTAAACCACAGGAAGGTACTTTATTTCATTCCCCTGAAAATCAGTTTAATCACAGTTTCTGCCTAGTAGCAAGATGCTCCCCAGAGAAAGGAATGTCGAACGTCCTTTAAACTCCTATTGTCCCAGGGACAATCCTCAAAAGAAAATCTAGCCCCTACCAAAGAAATCTAATTCTGAAAACTTGTGAAATCTGAATTTAAACATCGGCAGGTTAATGAAGTCTGGGAAATAGCACACATCAGCCTGTTGAGAAGGGTGGCTCGGCCTGTTTTTATTTGTGGGTTGTATAACAGTGTGTGGTGGAGTTGTATTAAAGCCAGCTTGTCCCAGCTAGTAGTAAAAAGCAGTCACTTGATAGGTGAGGGCAGGCTCGTCTGTATGAGCCAGACACCTGAAATTCCTATTGCAAGTCTTTGAGGGCTTTTACCTGATGCTTAATTTGGGTTGGAAATGAGAGAAGATGTAACCTGCAGGCAAAGAAAACTAAGTCCTGTGTTTTTGGTAATTTCTGCTCCTTCTCTGATACTCAGATTAGGTCTGAACCCTAATCTCTCTCCCTTGGTAAACTCTGAGCCCCATTTAACAAAGACCTTTCTGAGACATGCTTGTTGCAAGAGACTGATTAGATCTCCCAACTGATCCTATGAGTCTTTGTCCATGGAAAGGGTTTGTCTTCTCTTTTAGAAACAACAACGAACCCTGATTTTATGTTTATGATCAAGTTAAACCTGCTTAGCTTAGTTTTCAGTAATTCCCCAGAGAGCCTTAAAGAAGCACTTGGAGTTCTTCCATGCATTCCTCCCTCAAGTCCGTCAGGGTGGGCCTTCCGCTGTTTGGATTCCCTGTGGCTTTTAGTCTTCTGCTGACAAGGCCTCCAAGGTGAAGGGCACCTTCAGGAAAGTTGCTGGTTGGGAATTAGCTCCCTTAAACACCTCAACAACCTTTAAATAAACAACATCCTGAAACTGAATTGGCCCATGGATGGAACTCATTTCCTCTTTGAGACAATGCACACATCCATCAATTTACAGATGACTAGTAAAATAAAAAGCTTAGCTGAATGCCAGGGACAAAAACAGAAAGTGCCTGAATTGTAAGGAACTTTGAGTACTGATTCAGTAAGGGAAAGCCAGGAGGAAAGCGAACGGAGGGAGGAATGGAGTGGGCACTTGGTGAGTTAAGAAACCGACAGGAAACGGCTCAGAGCTTAAGATCACGGAGTGCTCTGGCAGAGGACCAGAAGTCAGTTCCTCGCTGCCTGTAACTGCAGCTCTGGAGAATCCGCTGTCTCTGGATTTTTCAGACACCTGAACTCTCATGTGCATATCCATACACATATAATTGAAAATCAAATAAATCCTTTAAAAAAGAAGGAAAGAAACCATCAGGTATAGGAAAGAGACCAGGTAGGGAGAAGGCTTTGAAGCCACTGTGTCCCCAGCAGGGCTATCTGTCAAGCAGAGGCAGTGCTGAAAGACTGGCACATATTCAAGAGAGTGGAAATACGTTTTTCATGCACTGTTTAGATAGGGTGTTTAGAAGTGTGTGCTGAAGAGTCCAGTGCTAAGCTGGAGTCCCAGACATGGAGCTACTGTGTGAGATGAACCCTCAGAACCTTGCCCTGTATGAAAGTGCTTTCTCAAGTACGGTCAGGTTCAGGAGGGGCTGAAAAGCATCTCGGTATGGTTCCTCTATAGTTTCTCGCTAGGCCAACTGTGTTCAGATCAAGGTATATCTGTCTCCAAGGAGCCAAATATCAGGAGAATCACCTCGTTTTGAGTGACTTAGAAGGAACAGCTTTCTATGTAACTGTGCTATACAAGACAGCCATGGCTCAGCCTCCAGGAGGCACTCTGACCCTGTGTAAAATGTAGGAAGTATTTTAAGTGAATGGTGAAATGAAGTCATCAATCTCCCTCCCAAATGGAGAGTCCCCAGAGGATTTCTGCCTGGTGAACTTGAAAAGGGAATGAAATGGGTAAATCTTAGGGAGTCAGAGAGACCAGGAGGCTGGAGAGATGCTCAGCAGTTAAGAACCCCTGAGTGCTCTTCCAGAGGTCCTGAGTTCAATTCCCTCACCACCATCTGTAATGGGATCTGACTCCCTCTTCTGGTGTGCATGAAGACAGAGCAGTCAAATATAGAAAATACATAAAGAGACTTCAAGACCTCAATTAAATTGACCCTGGGGTAATAAAGTACTTATTATTATTTATGATTTTAAAGCAAAGCTTTTTTTTTTTTAACGTAGATCAGGCTGCCCTCCAACTCACAGAAACACACCTGCTTCTGTTTCCCAAGTGCTAGGATTAGAGGTGTGTTCCTCCACACCAGGGCCCATCAGAGTTCAAAGGCTTCCCATGAGTCTTTTGTCAGGTAATGCAGCGCAGTGTAAACTAAGCCCTTTCAATGTACCTTGAGGAGAATAGAGGAGAGAACAGGTCTCTCTGTCCTTCAGTATTTATCTACTTAGAAAAAGGAAAATACTAGCTATAAATGAGAGCACCAGCCATTTCTAGAATTATTAATTGGGTTCTACATGTCAAATATGCTTGGTCTTAATTTCAGTACCAGGATACTATTCCCTCTGGGTGTGGCCTGCAGTGTCCACACGCTGTGAAACACGGTTAGTGAGCACCCACAGGGAGCCCACCCACATGGTAACCTCCTGCCTGCTCACATCCAAGTAGAAATACCAGATGATAAATTAGAATTAAAAGCAGCAAATGCGTCACAGCAGTGCCGTTTTATTGCCTCTGCCTGTGTGCTCAGCTTCCGTAGAGTGCTCACAACTTCAGAGGTGTATCTCCTGAGCTTTGACTGCACAGGCTAAGATCAAAGACGGTCAGGACCATGAATACCACCATTGTTCGCCTTCAATTTTCCTTCTCCCCCACTTCCCACATTGAAAATCATCCCAACGCTGCCTTCGTCCACCAACTGGGATGCTTGCTCCAGCCACTTGTTGGTGGCTCAGTGAACAAACCCTAAGTTGTTCCTCCCTTCTCCTCTCTCTCCTCCTCCTCCTCCTCCCCCTCCTCCTCCTTCTTCCTCTCTCTCTCTCTCTCTCTCTTTCTCTCTCTCTCTCTCTCTCTCTCTCTCTCACCAAGGTCAGGTTTAGTTTTTTTCGTTGCCTATTGATTGTAGCTGACTGCCAACCTAGACTCTATAGAGTGATTTACTATAAAGATGAATGCAACTCTTGCCCCACCTTGGAACTCCCACACTGAATGAAGTGAATAAATGGGTGAGTTGGGATGGGAGAAAGGGAAAGAAGAGAAGGTGGACAGATGGATGGATGGATGGATGGATGGATGGATAGAATGAAGGAATGAATTAGAAAAAGGATGTGCTTACAAGCACCTTCTGGAGGGATGGAACTCAAATAAATGTGAGCTCTGTGGGCAGGATATTCAGTGAGAGCCTCGGATTTCCCACCTATAATGTGAAGGTAATAATTCCTACTTACTCTGAGTGGCTATAAAGATGACAGTCGGTAAATTGCTTAGGGAAGTGTGTAGTTAAAACAACAACCGAAAGCAGGACGTCACAACTACAACAAAAGGTGATAAGTGACTTAAGAGAAATGCAAACAAAGAGGGTGGGGGTTCCCAGCACCTGCAGGAGGCCACCCATGTGTGCCAGCCATGGGCGCCTGCGCACAGAAGCTCTCCCAGCCTCCAGGTGATCTTCGGCACAGCACACGCCTAGGCTGGCCAGAGTTGAGCAGCTGGGACCCACGGGCATAGACCAGGAGTAGAGCAATCCTAAGTGGCCAGACATTTACAAGTGAAGCAGGTGTCACCTGCAGCCACTGCCATTAAGGCTCCCACAGACAGCCTTTAGAATGGAGCCTGGGAAGGACCAAGGCTGCCAGTGAGGAATGAAGATTCTTTCTCTCTCCAGAACTCGAGACCACTTCCTCTTTCCTCTTTCTGCCTCCCTCTGGATGTCTAAAGTGAAGCGGTTTTCTCTCTTCTCCAGCTCAGAGGCTGAGAATGGTGTGGAAGACAGAAAGAGGGTCAGCAAGTCGCCAACAGCCCAATCTCCTACCTCATCTGTGGAGGCCGAGTCCCCGGACCAGAAGAGAAGCATTGGCCTGTGGTGAGTCGTCAGTAGACTCTTTGTTCTCCAGCTTTTAGAGAGCACGGGTGCTTCTAGTTTTATGGTTGTCTTTAAGAGTATGGCTCAACTGTAGGCAAACTGTGCCCTAAGAAAGCATGGCACATTCTTCCTTAATACCATGGCCCTGGTCTTTTTCCTGGTATTCTCCTGTCTTCCTAGCAACACGTTTTGCTCCTGTTCCTAAGCCTTTGCAGAAGGGCTGCCTGTTTCAGAAATCACTGATTTGCTGACTGAGGAAACCACAAGGTCCCCTTCAGTACAGAGTGCACCCGTGTCTGCTCAGCCTCCAGGTATGCACAGCTGGCCCTCACTTTCCTGGACGCACAGGAAAGAACAGAGGAGATCACATCCCAGGGATCTGCTGAGTTACCCACGTCCTGTGACTGGGGCTGTAGAGGAGACCTGGTTTGCCTGTGAGGTAGGAGGAGAAGTGTAGGGTTTTGTTTTGTTTTGTTTTGTTTTGTTTTGTTTTGTTTTGTTTTGTTTTGTTTTGTTTTAATATACAGCTATAGGCTCCATCACTCTCAGAGGCAAACACTACCAAGGAGGAGCTTAGAGATGCTTGAAGCCAGGAGAGTAGATGCGAGAAGAGTCTGCTAGTTGTTGTTTCCATTTTGGATGGTTTTGTTTTTTCGGTACTGGGGATCAAACTGAACACACTCTAGCAACTGCTCTACCACTGAGCCACATCCCCAGTCCTAAACGTGGACTAGAACTTTCCAATAAAAGTGAGTGATCACCTCCCCATTGTTAAAACTGTTAAAACCATTGCCTTCTCCCACTTTTGACCTCTGCCAGGAGATAATTAATCACATCCTATGTCCCCTTCATCCCTGACTCCCCACTTGTATCTCCTTTCTAAATCAACGCCTGAGTCATAGCTCCTCACCCAGGTTTCCTTTTTCAGCTATCCCGTCGCCTCTGCATGCCTTGTTTGTGGTGTCTCATCTTTCGCCATTTTTTATAGCTGTTTCCGAGCAGAACATCCGACCCAACTCATTAAATAACTCCCCCAACAATAGCGAGCGTGAGGTGTGCGAGGTGTGCTTTCGCTGTGACAGGCAAGGCAGTCACCTGGCAAATGCTTCAGTTCCTTCAAATGAGAACTGTGGGTGTATCCGTAGGAGATGTGGGAAACCATGGGGTTTGCTGCCCGCCATGGCGCAGAGGGCCCTGCTCTGAGGCTCTCTGCTCGCTCTGTCTGGGAACTAACTGGGTTTTTTTTGTTTTGTTTTGTTTTGGGGGGGGTGGGTTTTAGGTTTTGGGGTTTTTTCCGTGCACTTTCATTTTGCACTGGGCTTTGGTCTTGCTTGTGGGCAGCTATAGGAAGTGAGAATACAGTGGCTGAGAAGACCCAGAGAAATCGATTCTATGCAAAGGAGTTTCCCGTTTGCTCTGCAGAGCAGCGAATGTGCCACTGATCAAGCCCTCAAAGCGAGAATGGCCCTTCTTACTACATTTGCCTACTGTGCAGAGTCCTTCAAAACATCTGCCTTGTAATGCCATTAACATGTATTGAGTCAACAGAAGTGATACATGCCATCCTTATTTTATTTGCTTGGGGATTTTGTTTTCTCGATGTTTATTTGTTGTTTGTGTGGAGACAGGATCTCACTATGTAGCCCAGGCTTGCCTCGAACTCACAGAGATCCATTTGCCTCTGTCTCCCAAGTGCTGGGATGGAAAGTGTGCGCCATCCCATCCAGCAGTGTTGTTGGTATTGTCTGTATTCGAGGTTTAGTGTAGGTAAGGCTTGCCCCAAACTCACTGTCTTCCTCAAGATGGCCTTAAATCATGATCTTCCTGCCTCAGTCACCATCTATCTAAATACTATCATTATTTTTAACATTTATAAAAATGGTTATCTTTTCAGGTCGATTATAGATAGGTAAATTCATAGTTTCAAAAAAATAATCTCCATAATTCTCAGAGAGTGTACTTATTAGCTAGCCCAGAGCACATCAAGTCCATCTACTGTGAACTGCTGAAAGGTGCCTCTCCTGAGATTTCAGTGTTACGGATCATAAACTGCTGGAGAATCCCAAGACATCCTAAGTTGTCTGATCGGCTAGTCCGCAGCAGTAAACCGGAGCAATGCCCAGCCCAGTGCTGAGCTTATATACACACAGACATGGCTCCAAGGGATCCAAGACTGGGTCCTCACACTGGATTAGCACCCACTCTTTACTCACCGAGCCATCTTCCCAAACCCTACTCTTGCTATTTTGAAGGATTGTAGCCCAGGGTGGCCTCAGATGTATTCATTCCTGTCCACCAAATTGCAAACAAATGGGCAGATCTTTTGAAGACGTGTAGACTGTGGGTAAATGGAGACAGATAGAACAATACTACCTCTGACTGTCTGGAAAAGCACAGTAGCACAGGGCTCCTGTGTGGCGCACCATCCTCTGTGGGTGGAGCACTTGCTTACACAGCAGTGCTTTCTCCATCTTCTCAATGTGTTGTTCTCACTCTCTGTAGGCACCCAGAGCAGAAGGCCAGTGTAAAATGAGGTTTATACAAGGCCTCATGTGTTAGCCTCCTATGTGCTAGGATTACATACATGTGCTATCATGTCCAGTATGTGCTGCCTTTAATGAAAAGAAAGGGGGAAAAAATGTTCAATGCATGTGCCCACCCTAAAGATAAAGACCGTCTTGTGTGCCTAAGGCCTTTAGCACAATGCCTCTCTTAGTTAATTCTTATTAAATATGAATGGATTGCTAAACAAAGATATTCTTTGATTGAGTACAGCTGTAATTTTATTTGCTAATGGGACTCAAGGACTCCTCTTTCTTTTGATTAAAACACTTTAGGGCTGACAGAATTGTCCCCGCATCTCGAATGCCCTTTCTGCAGTTTGTCGTGTCAGCCTGCTGGGATCATCCCGATCACGCAATTCGTGAATGCCCCCAGAGTCTAGTGAGCACTGATCGGTATCTAGAAGAGACAAATAACTGTCAGGCATTCTCATGACGTGGCACGACGGTGAAGATTTATCATGAGCAGCATACACTGCTCCTTGTGTAATCTCTGTGGGTTTTATTTCCCCAGGTCAAAATCCAGTTTTGATGGTTCCAATCTGTTGAGTGATAAGAATGACTGCAAAACTGAAAACAAGACTGACTCTAAGACCGAAAGAAAAAAGTCTTCATCCTCCAGCCAGGTAATGAGGGACGGCAGTGTGTACTAGCTCTGAGGGTAGAGCAGCCGTTGGAGCTGATGGAGAAAAGGAATCCTGAAATGCAGCTTTCTACTAACCAGGGCCAAAGTAGACAAGGGCTTTAGAATATGTGGAAGGACAGATGGACGCTGTTCCTCCAGCCTATTAGATTCCACAGCAGATCCATCTGTACACATGGAGAGACAGAGTACTTGGCTGTAGAGCTGGGGCTGCCAGTCACGTGCTTGTCTGACACCTTACAGAACATGGGGGGTGTGGTATCCACGTACTATAATACAGTCTCATCAGATCCCCAGCACACAGAGAAGCAAGACCTATGAACACACAGGTCACACCTTGTGAGGAGTCACATCAGCTCTGTGCTAAGTACACCCAGAGAAACAACAAAATCCAGGTCTGTGTTATGCAGCACCTTTCCTGGGGCCAGCTTTTGGGAGTTTGGGGTTTATATTGGGGTTTGTTGCTTTGAGTTGAACCCAAGTCCTCCCTTTTGCCATGGACACACTCTACAACTGAGCAAAACCCTTGACCCCAGTTTTTTGAAGTTTGTTGTTGTACATAACTCCCCTAAATACATGAATAAGTGCCTTCTAAGAACTTAACAAAACAGTTGGCATAGGTATGAAATTTAAGTATTTTTAATTTCTACAGCTGTCCTAACGAGGTGCGTGTTTTATAAAGATTGTTTTTTATACTCTTCCATAGGGGCCAATCAAGTCAGATATTATATTTAACTGTTCTCTCTCTCTCTCTCTCTCTCTCTCTCTCTCTCTCTCTCTCTCCCCCATCCCCCCCTCACTCTATGGCTGCCCATTATAGCCCAGGCTGGCTTTGAAGATGGGGTCCTCCCACCTTAGGTTTCCTAATACCCAGCATTACAGGTAGAGGCAAAGACTTCAAGTTCAGGGTTATCCAAGTGCAAAGCTTCTAAGATCTATACCTAGATGAGCAGCTATGCTGGAATATTTGAAATTAAGTGTGCAGTCCATACTATCTGTAACTATTAAAACGAAACACTCTGTGAGGCCCCCACCCCAGCCTCCCACAGGGCATATATAGCTTTCATCACCTGATGCAGGCTTGAAGACATACAAATTCAAGTCTCCTAGGATGGAAGACCAGAATGGGAATCATCATAGGAAGAAATTCCAGAACTCTGATGCCATATGCACACATGGGAGGCAGCACTCATTAATTCACCTTGCATAAGATGTCTGTCTGTTAAACAGCTGACTTGTTGGCGCCATCTGCCATCTTGATGACCTGATCCATAGGTTTTCTTAACGCCAATAGAAGGGTTGGCTTTGCTGTTGAGAGCTCTGCTATTCGGATAGTGCACCATCAAAAGCCTATTTTCCAGACTTCTTATAACAGTGGTTCTTAACCTATGGGTCTCGATCCTGTTAAGGGTTGAATGACCATTTCCCTAGGGTCACATATCAGACATCCTCCTGTCTGATATTTACATTGAAATTCTTAACAGTAGCAAAATTATAGTTATGGAGTAGCAACAAGAACAATTTTATGATGAGGGCCACCACAACATGAGGAACCTGTATTAAAAAGTTTCAGCATTAGGAACATTGAGAACCACTGTCTTATCACATATTTTCTCAAAAGCATTCTAGAGCTCTCTCTCTCAGTCACTATGTGGCCATGTTCCTCAGCATCTCTGATACACAGTGTCCTAATCCTGGAATGGGGTACTTGGGTTTGGGGTGGAGACGATGCTTGTGGTAAGCATTGTCCTATTATCTCCATAGTTGTGGAGACAGGTGTAATTTGCAATGAAGCCAATTGTAGTCCTTCAGGCCCTTGGGCCTTGTGTTGCAACTGGAGTGTTATGCCCCGCTCTTCTGCCTCTGACATCATGTGCTTTCATGGGCACATAGTAACAGTGGCCACGAGTTTTCCTGAGTGGTGGACTCTCCCACCTCAATGTAAGCCTGGAAGTATCCTAAGGCAGGGAATGCTTTTGACATCAGGCACAGAACAAAGAAACTAAGGCCCTGGGAAGCTAAATGATGAGGGCGTGACCACACACCAAGGCAAAGTAGAGCCGATGACTTCAAGTTCAGGGTAATCTGAGTGAAAAGCTCCTAAGCCCTGAACTTTCCCACAGTGCTTAGGTATGTGTCATTGGCACATTCCTGGCCAGAGTCTTCGGATGTCATCTCCTGACTTATTAGGGGTACCTTTGCCCTGTCAGATGCTCGGCTGACCTCCCAGCAAGGTGTTAATTATGTTGGAACATGAACCTAGGTGACCCTGTGTCCCCTGTGTCTCATTGAAGGATTGAGTTGGAAAATTAACCAGTTTAAACTAGGGTTAAAAACGTGTGATGGCTGAAAACTTATTGATGGTGTTGATGCCTGTGTTCCTCCTGCAGTACAAGGCGAACATGCACTTTCACAAGTTATTCCTTGATGTCCCAACTGAAGAGCCACTGAGGCAAAGTAAGTCCTATTTAATTTAAACCTGTTTACTTAGTTTTTTTTAATATATATTTAAAAGGCTGGCTAAGGGAGCTGAAGACATGGCTCAACAGTACTTAGGTTTAATTCCTAGCACCCACATGGCATCTCACAACTGTCTGTAAATCCAGTCCTAAGGAGCCAATGCCCTCTTCCGGCCTCCAAGGACACTAGGCATGAACGTGGTGCATAGACATGCATGTAGACCAAACATACATACACTTAAAAATAATATTTTAAAAAGCCTTTTGGTTTTCTTTTTGAGTTGTCTAAGAAATATGGGAGAAGGAAAGGACATTTCAAGGACTCAGTCACCAAGAAAAAAAGTTTCTGAAAGTTATAGGTCATGTCATGACGGTAATGCCAGCTGTGCTCACCTCTCCCTAAGACCTTAGAACATAAGACAGAAGGAATAGCCAGTCTCGTGATACGGAGTCATCCAGGAAGGTTCCACAAAGATCTCCTTGCCATTTCCATCCATGCTGAAATGTGTGTGAGTGAATCATCCTGAGATTTGGGACAATAAGCCTAGGGCAGGAAAAGGTGCCACAGGAAGCTAAAAGAAAACACAGTTCCCGGTGTACAGAAGTAGCCACACCCGTGCTATGCAGGGCAGAGTGGGCACGTGTCCCAGCATGCCAGCTCAGCATCTGGCTCATCACAACTCTACCTTCCCTCGGTGTACACTTGTTAAGTCAAGAGGTTGGTTCCTGCCATGATCCCCTGGCAGAAGGTGTGTTCATGTGATCTTCCCCCAGTGAGACCATCTATTTCATCAGTGAGTCATTAGGATCCTGGGAAGAGCGTTTATATTCACATGCAGATGACACAGTTCTAAAACACCATGGCTTGGTTTCTACGGGGCAGTGGTAGACCTGGCCTCCCATTTTTTACTCTTATTCTAAGTCTCTAAGACTTTGAATTGAAAATACGTTTGAGCTACCCACCACTTCATTCTACTTAAAATTGACTCTGGGGCTAGGTCTCGTGGTGTGTGCCTGTAATCCCAACACTCCAGAGACTAGAGCAGGAGGATGTCAAGTCTTAGGCCATCCAGGTCTAAATCTTGAATTCCAGGCTAGCCTGAGCTGTGCAGCAATACCTTATCTAAAACAATAAGTAAATAAAAATAATAAAATAAAATTAACTGATCAAGAGACGATCGTACAGCCAAATGTAGTACGTTCACATATCTCTGTAAGTGCAAAAAACACATACAGCCAAGAAAGTAAAAAATGAAGACCATTTGTTATCTGCAGTGGGTAAAGAGCACAGAAGTTATTTCCAAAGCAATGCTGCCCTCAAAGGAAGGGAAAGGAAGCCTAGGGCTTTTATTCTGGGAAATATTTAAACAAGAAATCATTTTGGGGGTGGGTATGTGTCCGAGCATGCTCATTTTAAGGTCATAGTTCAAGAAGAAAACATGGCAGACACACTTCTGGGCATGCTATCACCCAAACTCACTGAGCACCTGTTTGAAAGTTAAAGTATCAGACCTGAACATCTTGGGGGCATTCACAGTCAGTATCACAAAGATGATGAGCAAGACCATCTCTGGCCATGTTAAGCTTCCTTTAGAAAGTTTCACAGAAAAGCAAACAAAATAGCAACAGCAAAACAAGACAAGTCATTCTGAAGTTGTGTAAAATGTAGATGTTGGCGCTAAAAAGGCCACTTAGTCACTAACATTGGAACTTTGGAGTATAAGGGTATATTCAGTGACCAGTATAAAGGCAAATGCTTATTTGAAGTTGAAATCATGGAAATAGTAGTGGTTTGCTGAGATTCTAAATCGGGCTGTTCTACCTCTTTGTCTCTTAGGCTTTACCTGTGCTCTCCAGAAAGAAATTCTATACCAAGGAAAGCTCTTTGTGTCGGAAAACTGGATTTGTTTTCATTCCAAGGTCTTTGGAAAAGACACTAAGGTTGGTGTGTTTAGAACAGTATTTTTTTTTACACATCATAAATAGAAATTGCTTTAAAATTAACTATATTTATAAATGTTTCCATCGTGAGTCTGACTTTATATTACATTTCCTTAGTTGTGCTTTCAAATTTGACTTCTCTAAATGCCTCCAGATGATTCGGACTTCCTCCCCACCCCCACCCCACCCCCAGGCAGCATTTGCTCGATCCTTTCCTTATGCACATCACCTTGTGCTTCTCCTATCCTTCAGCCTGAACCCCTTTTACTCACATATCATCAGAGACACCAAAGTTGTTTTTGTGTGTTTCTGGGAAATATGCCCTAGTCAGTTTCAAAGGCATTCATTAACAACCAAGACACATGGCTGGGCGTGATGGCTCAGCCCTGTAATCCTGACAAGAGAGCTGCCGTGAGTTTACAGCAGGCTAGGCTACAAGTGAGCTCCAGGCAAACCTAACCTACTATATATGACTCTGCTTCAAACAACCTCCCCCCACCCTGCAAAAAAAGCACTTTTAAAAATTATCCATATTTTGTTGTATCCATAGCAATTACTAGGACAACGGGTTTGTAAGTGAATGTCTTATTCTCACCAGCATAAGGGAGCTGGAACAGAATGTGTAAGGCTTTGTCTGTGGAAGCCAGACCCTCACAACTTTAAATGTGCCCTGGTGTGGCCACCTTTAGGTCTCTATTAAACACAGGTTTGAGCTGAGCTGTGGGACACCCAGAGCTTGAGAACAACCTCAGTGACAGAGGAAGTGGCAGCTTCCCCAGGCTCCAATTTCTGAAACTGTCACACAAAGAGGGAAAACGAAATCCTTGCCAGTGAACTAGGGTTCATTCAGGCAGACAGAGGTCTGAGAAGTAACTTCCTGCTGTGCATGGCCTCTGTCAGTGAATTTTCAGTTACTGTGCCTGAAAATTATGAATAAGCAGTTTTCATTCCTGCGAAGTAGCCACTTATGAACTCTTTGAAGTAATTACACTATATCTAAACGTTCTCCCAGAAGCCACTGGTAACCCTATAAGAACCATTCAACAAACATAAAGGATATTCTCTAATGTGCTGATGTTAGCTCTGGAGGGCAGCATACTCCATGTTGTGTTTTATATATGTTTATTGTACGCTATTCTTAGGCATTCTCTGAATTAATACAGTGCAGAGTAGTATTCTACCATAATGCTAGATTTCAGGATTGTAAGAAAGTGGTCATGGGGTCCAAGGAGGATCGGGTCTCGCTTTTTAGTGGGATAAACACATTTCTAAATTCAGAGTAAGTCTGTGTCTCTAAGCAGGGTCGCAAGGACTAAAGACATTCTGAACAAAGGGTTTCTCTTTTTTAATGATGTGTAAGTTCATGAAGACAGCGAGTGAACTTCAAGCCAGTGTGATTTAGTGGTGGTTTGAAAATTCTGCTTTTGCCGGGCGGTGGTGGCGCACGCCTTTAATCCCAGCACTTGGGAGGCAGAGGCAGGCAGATTTCTGAGTTCGAGGCCAGCCTGGTCTACAGAGTGAGTTCCAGGACAGCCAGGGCTACAAGAGAAACCCTGTCTCGAGAAACCAAAAAAAAAAAAAAAAGAAAAGAAAAAAAAAGAAAAACATTCTGCTTTTACTTCAATGACCAAAAAAAAAAAAAAAAAGGTAAAATGAGGTTTTTAATGCGTGGACACACTTGGGTTTCTTTTGTATGAATTATATCTAAACTTCAGATTAGCAGGAGAAAGAATAGGAACCATTGATATCGGTTTGTCTTCTTCCCACTCCAAAGATGGTGTCAAAAGAGATTTGGGCTTCAGAAATCTTACAGAATTCCCTCATGGGTCAACAGACCTCAGTCCAACATGATGTACTGTAAACTAATGACTTCCAGGGGACCTTTCTGAAAGCATCCCCTGAAAACAGGTTACTGGATTCACCTTACTTGAGTGAAGGACTTCAGCCGGGGGTAATTTCAGTTGCTGATAAAATTAACACACATCTTATATAGTGTCACCAAAACTCACTTTATCTTTATCTCGTGAGTTATTCTGCTGTAATTTTATAGTCATGGAATAGATGATTCAAATTCCTCATGAGTCTTTTGTGTCTCAGAAAAGCCTAAATGCACGGCCCCTTGTATTTCACTGTGTGTTTGTCACTGCTCAGAAACTGAATTGGACTCATTCTGAGCTCATTGTTTTCTTAGTAGATCCCAAGTTCTTTTTTCCAAAGTCCCAACCTCACAATATCTCCTGCCCTTGAAAATGTCTCTAAAACAATAGCTTCTAGAAAAGTATCTAAGTGAGATTAGTCCCTCATTATTCAGTCCTCCTTCCTAGAACTTGGCTTGGCAGAGGCTAACCCAGCTCATAGACCCAAATGTGAACGCATATTAAAAGTTAAAAGCTTGTTTTCATTCCTTCTTATTTACAGAAGCAGTGCAAGCCACACCCCTTTTCCCCACTGACCTTTTTTAAAAATAATGATAATAATACGTGTTCACATAAGCATGTATACCCATGCAGTGAGTCAAATCATTTTTTTAAATCATGTATGTGAGACTGTTTGGAGGTTCACAGTGATAGGATCATCTCCACTTGAAGCCAAACAGTGGTGGTCATTGTTGTCTGTGTCATCTGATATTCTTGTAGCATATCATATGAGAGGAAATGAACGGTTAGGGTCAAAGCAATTCCCATCCCAATGGTTCTAAGTTCTGATGTACAGAATCTTGAATAAGCTGTGTATCTTTCCAAACAAATTTCATGATCTGATCTCTAAGCCTTCAAGGATCCTCATAATTAAATAACAGCCTTGCTTGATAAAGAAGAATTAATGATACCATTGTGGGTAATTTTTTAAAGGATTTATTTATATATTTTATGTATGTGAGTACACTGTAGCTATCTTCAGACACACCAGAAAAGGGCATCAGATCCCAGTACAGATGGTTGTGAGCCACCATGTGGTTGCTGGGAATTAAACTCAGGACCTCTGGAAGAGCAGTCAGTGCTCTTAACTGTTGAATCTGTTGCTATTTTTTGAGCCAGAAAAAAATTTTTTTTAATGTTGAGCATTCTGATATCATGAGACAAGTGAGGAATTTGGTAAACGTTTTTATTCACAACTGATGTCCTCTAAACCTTACCTTATTTAATCCAAACATCTAAGTATTAATAATGAAGGCTGTTTGTACTTACAAATCAGCAGACAGAAGCTTTGCATGGCTAGCCCATCAGGCAGAGAAGGGCATGAAAACAGTAACAGGATTGGATTCAGGAGTAAGACTTTCTGTCCAGCGTGTTTTCCCCATCCATGTGGCTCAACCCAGGAACTGACTCTGGAGCACACGCTGTAAGTCCCAGGTTTTCATGAAGCCCTGAGCCCAGATGTGTGAACATCAGTGTAAATGCTATGTTCTGTTACCATGTCTAGAGCTTCCCAGCTATGCCTGTAGCTGTGGAAACCCCAGTCTGAACAGTTCAGTGATATGTCCCCCTCACTGCCAGGTTCCCTATTCTTCATGCATCCTGGAGAACTTACCTACTGGTGATGTCCTTAGCCAGGTGTAGCTTTATTGTGTTGTGTGTAAAGTCTGAGCTGCTGTTGACTTGATGGCTCTGTTTCAGATCTCTATCCCAGCTTTCTCGGTAACCTTGATCAAGAAAACCAAAACTGCCCTCCTGGTGCCAAACGCCCTGATCATAGCAACAGTCACAGACAGGGTGAGTACAGCAGCACAGGGCCACCTGTGCTCTGCCTGTTGTTGTTTTCCTGTCCCTTCTTGTTGCTTTTGTTCTTTTGAGGTTTGGTTGTTTTTGTTGTTGCTATAATTTAATGCATTTCAATAGCACATTTACAGGAACAGCACAGAAGGCAAACAACATTAAGCATAATGCATTGTATGTAGAACAACTCTGAGAAGTCCGCCAAATGCATGAAACCTACTATGTGCTAAAAATGCTTCCCTCACTATATAGTTGAATCCAGCAAGAATTTTATTCATTAAAAAGAGATCCCAGGGGCCTGGCAAGATGGCACAGTGGATAAAAGTGCTAACTGTGCAAGCCTATAACAACTAACATCCAGTCACCAGATCCCACAATGGAAAAAGAGAACTACCTACCAAAAGCTCTGCTTTGACCTTTACATGTGCCCACACATACATCACACAAATGCAATAATAATAATAATAATAATTAATAATTAATAATAATAATAATGGATAAAAGTAAGTTTAAGGCCAGGCGTGGTGATGCATGCTTTTAATCCTAGCACTTGGGAGGCAAAGGCGGTTTAAGGCTAACCTGATCTAAATATAGAATTCCAGGACTCCCAGGATGAGAGAGAGAGAGAAAGAGAGAGAGAGAGAGTCCTTGTTTCAAAAACACCTGATCTCTGTATATTGGAGGGAGCTAATTCAGGAGAATCATAGACTTGAAGCCAGCCCAGACTACGTAGTGAGATAGATAGATAGATAGATAGATAGATAGATAGATAGATAGATAGATAGACAGATAGATAGATATTCTGATAAACTATAAAATGAATTAACATGCCTATTTTTATTGCTTTACATACAAAGAGCTATTGAGCTCTTACTCTTTGCCAGGTCTACATCAAGTGCTTTCTTTGTTTTCTAATTGATTCATATGCACCCCATAGGGAAAGCATACTTAAGCAGTTTCCCATTATTATCCCTTAGTAAGTGTCAGGGCTGGACTCTGCACCCAGACCTGCCCAGTGCCACAGCCCACAGCGCCCAGTGCAATGCTGACTTGGAGTTTGTGTCATTCTCTTGGTGGTGAATGAGAGAGATCATTCAAACTCAGGAAATGGATGTCTGAGAGGATTCCGTGACACACACGTGGAGAAAGCCAAAATTTTTTTAAATTTTGTAGATGTACCATTTGCACAGAAGAAAAATCTTTCTGTATGTCATTTGTTTCCAAAATATTTGTCTAGCTTTGATTTTTTTTAACCATAACTAACAAGTATCCAGTGTGTGTGAGGGGGAGGGGGAAATCTCCATATTAGTACAAGGAAGAACCTGGAAGAGACATGAAAAAGAGCAACCCTATTATAACTGCTGGGAAATCTTTTGCAGAAATGCAGGTCAGAGCAGAGAAAACAGACCTCCTCTGGGAATCACAAAATACTGGAGAGGGGAGGAGACTTTGGGAGTCCCAGCTGGCATCAGAGCCTTGCCTGGGTGCCCTGTTCTCTCTCATCAATGCTCTTAAGGGGTACCCATGTCATCCTTTGGGAGCCTCCATTTTGCTCTGTTTTATTGTGCTTAAATTGAATGTGGGGGTTTTATTACTATAATAAGTGGGATATGAGGAGCCGGAGATGTGGCTCAGTTGGTAGTGCTTGCCTAGCGGCAGAAACCCCTGGATTCAATCCTCAGTATCACATAAACTTGGCATAGTGGTACACATCCATAATCTCTGCACTTGGAGATGGAGGCAGAACTGTCAAGAGTTCAAGGTCGTCTCTGGCTGCATCGTGAGTTTGATGCCCGCCTGGGCCACACGGCACTCTGCCTCAAAAGAAAGAAGAAAAAAGACACATAGGGAAATATACCTATTTTATTCCAGAAATGAAATAAAATTTGAATGTTCAGATGAAAAAACTGAGGTTATAGCTAAAGTAATGGTCTTTGTCATTTGAAAATATAAAAACTGGGTGGGGCAGTGCATCCAAGTCTGATGACTTGAGGTCAGTCGTCAAGAACCACATCTTGGAAAGGGTTGTCCTCTGGTTTCCACAGGGACACCGTGTCACGTGCGTGTGTGTCCCACACATTAAACGTAATTGAAAAGAATTATAAGAAAACACAAAAACTACATGACAGGTGTATTTTGAACTCTGAACTCTTGGCTCCATCTTATTTTCCAGTACATATTCGTTTCCTTGTTGTCCAGAGACTCAACATACAAACTGATAAAATCTGTGTGCGGACACCTAGAGGTACGTATGACGTGGGATCCTGTGCTGCCTTTCTTCCGTATTTCTTAAGGTCTGTCATTGATCTGGGTTTTCATTTTATGCCTGATTTCAGAACACAAGTGTCGGTAACAGTCCCAATCCATTTTCTGCTGAAAATAGTTACCGGGCAGAACGCCCTTCATCTCTGCCTCTGGTAAGTCACCTTGTTGTGCCTCCTTCTGGAGCCTCAAAAGATTACCAAGGAGCCGACTCTGATGCAATTGCAGTAGGGTCTTTATTCAAACTCAAGCTTGGACTACACTACTTTCTCTGAAGCAGCAGGACAGGAAGGTGAAACCCCAGTCTCTCAGAGGGACAAGGTTTTATAGGAAATGGCAAGCAAGCAAGAGGGTGTCTAGCCTGGCACCCTTCTGATTGGAGGATTGTCATGGCCTTTAAAATAATTGGCTGGTGCTGGCAGCCAAACCATAAACTTAACTTCTGGTTTCCTGGTAGGTGGTTGTTAAGAAATGAAGTGCCAGGGGCAAACTTGTAACCTGGAGGCACAGGTTTGTTGGGGAGTAACCCAGAAACTGGTGCTAGAGAGCTCAACCTTAGGCAGGTTCCCTAAGATGGAGTTTGAACCCAACATCTGGTATCTCAACTTAATGATCAAGATCCACAAGCAAAGGAAGGAGCCATGGCTACATGTGCCCACACCACAACCAGGGCTTAGGAAGAACCCATGACCAGAGTAGTTGAGGGACAGCTGCAGAGCACAGCATGTTTCTACAGAAGCAGAGGAACCAAAGGAGGCCGCTCTTTTTCTAGTAATTTAAGGGTCGTTTTACACAAAGAAGAAATGTGATAGTGAGATTGGAGATACATATGATGGCTGGCACACACCTCTGAGGTCAAGGCAGGAGAGTCCAAGGTTAAAGGTCATCTTTAGTTACACTAAGGTTTGGGGACCAGCCTGAGATAGGTGAAGATCATGTCTCAAAGAAACAAAATAAATATGAATCAGTCAATCATATTTTCAACTTTTTTCCCCTATCAATCTTTGTAAGGAGTCAAATGAATGTTGAGATGGCCCAAAGACAGCAACTCAAGCACACAACTTGCTCCTTTGTTTACCTCAGTCTAAATTGTTAAGAGCTCAGACTAATTCGGCCTTTGCCAGGACCAGTTAGGAACACCATGCATTTCCTCGGGTCCTAAGCACTTCAGGGAAGCCAGTGGAATACAAATCAAAACACCTCTCTCTGCCTGTGTTCTCTACTCCTGTCTGCTTCCCATCCTCTGTACTGTAGACCTGGTCTGATCTAGTTTAAAAGGCTACAGCTCTGTTTTCTCAGTCTTAATTTTCCAGAAGTGGGGTTTTTTCCCCTTTCCTGTGTCCAGTGTCATTTTTTTAAGTTATAATTTGACTGTACCTTTTTCTGCATATTTGAACTTGGACTTGAGCTGTCTGTCCAGCCTTCTCTCACGATGTCTGCAGCAGTCCCCTGAGATGCCTCCACCTCACACTTAGCAGTTTCTCTGTCCCCAGCCATCCAGTGCTTTCTCTAGATGTTTGTTTCAAACAAGCTGTGTACTGTTCATTAAAAGAATTCTAACCATGTAGAAGGCTCTCAGTTTCTGTCACCAGAGACTCCTGGGTTAGGAAATCCTGTAATGTAGGTTAACCCATGCTTCATTTCCATGTTTTATGGGTCAGCCCTAAGCGAGAGGACTGGCATCTATAAAGGCCTGCCTGTTTCTTCCTCTTGTTGTCTCCCTCAGGATTTCAATGATGAATTCTCAGACTTGGATGGAGTGGTTCGACAACGAAGGCAAGACCTGGAAGGGTACAGCAGCTCCGGCTCCCAGACTCCAGAATCTGAGAACTCTCGAGGTCTGGGGAAGTCATGTCTTGATAAAGATTTTATGCCCCACAGAACACCCTTCCCTCACCCTCACTCAACAAAACAAAAACAAGGCTCACCCTTCTTTTCCCAATTAACAGTTGCAAAGGAAATCTAGGAAAAGGGTTCCTAAGAAAAGGGATTGCCTCCATGGCGAAATCCATCTGCTTCGTCCATATTTAACAGACATCTCTTAAGTCAGTGGTTCTCAATCTGTGGGCCGTGACCCCTTCAGAGGTCAAACAACCCTTTCACAGGGGTCACTATCAGAAAACATGGATATTTGCATTATGATCCATAACAGTGGCAAAATTAGTTACAATTATGTTTTATATAATTATATGAATGTATAAAAAGTAGCAAGGAAAATGATTTTATGGTTGGGGGTCGCCACAACATAAGGGTATTAAAGAGTCATTACATTAGGAAGGTTGAGAACCACTGGCTTAGTTGACATGCTAGGGTGGCCAAGAGAAATCAACACAAGGTTTCTCACCTACTCTAGTAATAATAATAGCATGAGTAGTGAACACATTGTATGTTCATGGATGCCAACCCAGCATCCTTGCATCATTTTCTTATGAACTTTGGGTTTCAGTCTCTAGGCACCACATGCCACTCATGAGAGATTCACATCATAGCCAATATGCAGATAAAGGAGTCATGGGTTTTGTAGCCAGTCCTATGAGTTTTAAGTATATCAGGGACCAAAATGACCTTGCCTCATTTTCTTGACAGACTTCCATGTGACTGAATCTCAGACAGTTCTGAATGTCACAAAGGGAGAAACAAAACCATCTCGGACAGATGCCCATGTGAGCAGAGCACCTGATGGAAAAGCCAAGATCCTGCCTGCCCATGGTGAGGAATGGGATTATTGATAGGTTGGTAACATGTAAAGAGCCCACTGTTTCACACAATAATTGCCTCTCATGGTCCCTCCCTTCCTTTCTGTTGTATGTCTGTCTTAGTTAGGGTTTCATTGCTTTGAAAAGACATCATGACCAAGGCAACTCTTATAAAGGACAACATTTAATAAAGAATGGGTTACAGTTTCAGAGGTTTATTCTATTTCCATCACACTGGGAAGCATGGCAGCATCCAGGCAGACATGGTGCTAGAGGAGACAAGAGTTCTACATCTTGATCCACAGGCAGCAGAAGAGACTGTGTCCTACACTGGGTGGAGCTTGACCATAGGAGACCTCAAAGCCAACCCCAACAGTGACACACTTCCTCCAGTGACACACTTATTCCAGCAAGGCCACACCTCCTAGAAGCACCATTCCCCATGGGCCAGACATTCAAAAGCATGAGTTTATGGAGCCATACCTATTCAAACCACCACATTGTCTTTCCATGTTAAATCCTGCTTATTATACAATAAGTAGTACCTGATTCTGGGGATCACTAAGCTTCTGCATTCTTCTCAGTGCTTTGAGATTATGAACCAAAAGTTGGTAACAAAAATCAAGTTACTGACTTGGTTTTTTATTTATTAACAACAACAACAATAGTAGTAGCAAGGATGGTGTTAGATTTTCCACTGACCCCAATACTTGGCAAAAATAAGCTTCTCAAATATACATTATTAGATGAAATAACTTGGGAAAAATGAACTTACTGGTTAAAATATCAACAAGGAGGCTTCCACTAATATTTTCTCTTCTACTTGGGATTAAACCTACCTCAAGTACCTCTCCCCTGCTGAAATATTGCAAAAAAAAAAGCATGCATGGGTGCTAAATTATTGCTCTTTTGGTTTCCACTCAACAGGTCAATCAGAAACTCTTGGGATTTTACATAAAATGGAGTCTCGGAAGTGCCCGACTCTCCATCATATCCTTATATTCTATGCAATTGTGTAAGTAGATGTGTAAGTAGTGTATGATCCTGCTTTGCAGGGGAATAAGCTCTTCTCCTTGCCAAGAGTCACTGTAAATTCCACTTGTACTCACTGACACAACCCACATATTTTCCTTGGCAATTTCCTTTCCTTTTTGGACATTCTCTCCCTCCTCCGCCCACTCCTGTCACGCCCTCCCCCCATAAGCTTAGGTTGCTTCTTATAACAATTGTGCTGAATCGACCAAAGAACCACGTTCTGAGCAACAGTCAGTAACTTCTGAAGCATCTTTGTTCGGCTTATTTATTTTTCTTTCTGTTCAACTTCTTTTGAACAGAAGCCAAGACATCATTCATCTTTCCACGGTATCATCCATCTTTAGTGACAAGTTAGACACAGACTTTTTTAACTTTTCATCAGCTTCCAGTCTATAACCAATTGCTGTTCTGAGAATAGCCAGTTCAGTTCTAAGGTGTCTCTTATACCCAAGGGAAATAGATATGCTCATCTGGTCCCCATTGAAGCAGGGAATTTGTGAGTCTCCAGGGAACAAGGTTTACTGCTCTTACCCAGGCTTCTGGAAGACGAAGAGAATACCAAAAAGGATGGGAGCTTTGGCTTAGACATCCAGCTTGAGTTTGGCCTTGAACAACTCTGTAAAAACAGCCACATTTCTGCACTTTGAGAAACTTGTGTGACAGGATTTTAAGTCTTCTTGCTGTGAAGGTTTTTTTTTTTTTTAAACAAAGTGGACTTTCTTTTTTTCTTTTTCTTTTTTTTTGTTTTTTTGTTTTTTGTTTTTTTTTAATTTTATTTTATTTATGAGTACACTGTAGCTGTCTTCAGACACACCAGAAGAGGGCATCCAATCTCATTACGGATGGTTGTGAGCCACCATGTGGTTGCTGGGATTTGAACTCAGGACCTCTGGAAGAGCAGTCAGTGCTCTTAACCGCTGAGCCATCTCTCCAGCCCCCAGCTGTGAAGTTTTATAACAAGCATCATTCTGGTTTTTCTTTTTCTTTTTTAAAATGATTTTTAAAATTTTTCTATTTTTAATTCTATTTGGATATTTTGCCTTACCTGTATGTGTATATACCACATGCATACCTGGGCCCACAGAGGCCAGAAAAAAGCATTGGATCTGGAGTTATAGGTGCCGTGAGCCACCCTGTGGATGCCAGGAATTGAACTCAGGTCCTCTAGAAGAGCAGCAAATTCTCTTAACTGCTGAGCCATCTCTCCAGCCCCTTAACTTAGACCATATTAAAGTCTCTAAATCCTTTATTTAGTTCTTACTGAAAATGTTCATCAATGGAAAAATTGCTCTGAGTTCACTGTTTTTAACCATCAGTTCCTGGCCATTAACATGGAAATTTCTCATTGCCCCTTTATAGTGTCTGTGTGCTGATCCTCTCCACCTTCTACATGAGATACAGGATTAACACTCTGGAGGAGCGCCTGGGGTCCTTGACGTCCATCATGGATCCCCACAGTACTGAGTAAGACGGCCTTCCAGTACTTGCTGTTCAGATTATTTTGACAGTTGACCTAAGTTTAGTATCCTCCTTAGCAAACACTGAGAATTCGTTCAGTGTGAGGCGATAAGTTAACTGAGTGTTTGGGTAAAGCAGAAGAGGGGTTCTAGAAATGAGTGGCTTAACCTTGCGTGACTCCTGTGCTGCTGTCCTGCCTCCAGCAGTACTACAAGAAATATGCCTAATAGTGTGTCATTCTGCTAATTATCCTAAGGTGGTGGTTGTGACCTTGACCTTAAACTGTTCACCCTCATCTTTAGAGAATGGTAATTTGTTTTTGAGTCAAAACATTTGTAAAAAAAAAAAAAAGGCACATGTCATGATATGTAATTGTTTATATTAATTAATTTACAGAACCCTTGCCCATATTCCTGATTACTAACTAGTTGAATGTGTGTCTGTAAATATTTTCTTCCATCACTTTTTTTTGAGACAGGGTCTCTCTACACGTGCCTCTCTACATAGCCCTTGCTATCCTAGCATTCATTAACCAGACAGACCTTGAACTCACAGGGATCTACCTGTCTCCAGAGTGCTGGGACTAAGGGTGTATGACACCACATTTAGCCTCATCCATCACTTTCTGTAAATGTAACTTTCATTAGACAGATGTAATTGTCATATAGGAAACCTACTGCTGAATATGCTCACCCTTTCTAGATCTTTCTGAACTCTGGCTGGCTGGTTCAACTCAGCTGTTCGGGCTCAAACTCCTCTCCAAGCTGACTGATTCAAACTGGCTTCTCTTGGCTTCTGACTGAATTGCTCTGCTTGGCCTCAAACTGACTCCTTCTCATTCTCTGCTTGTTCTGTCTTCACCTGCAACCTGTCTCTATAAAACTGCCTCCTCTCTCTCTCTCTCTCTCTCTCTCTCTCTCTCTCTCTCTCTCTCTC